ATGACTTGAAAAAATTTCCAGTTGTATAATTGTATTTACGAGGTTTGGGGGAGAAATGGGCCATAGTTTATTACCTTAGAAACTTATTTTGATCCTCAATGACATCAGGGAGTAGGAGAAAGTACAACGAGAGTGAGAGGAAGGGTGAGTCTGGAAGCAGTACATGGGGTGCACTTTAATGGAGGGCGATGACACAAAGGAATTCGTGCAGATGCATTGAGCCTTGTCAACGGTGGCATTCCAAACAACATAAATACGTCAAATGAGTTAACTTGACGTTCATTGTTATTTTGTCACAATAGACTTATTAAACAGTTCTAGGTATAAACCAAGAAGATACTGATGGAGTTCAACTGCATATGGTCACTGTGGCATAAAAGGCAATGAGCTTGCTGACACACTTGCTAAGAAGGGGGCAACAATTTTGCAATGCATGGACCGGCCCATGTCTTTCCACACAATGAAGGCCTTAATCAGGAGAGAATTCAAGACCTCAAGGTGCAACGAACTTAAAGCCCGAACAAAGGAGAAACCGTGGACAGTGGCACCCTCCGATATAGCCGACTGGCCAAGAATCGAAGCCATTGCTGAGTTTAGACTACATACCGGACACGATTGCCTGGCAAAACACCTTCACAGGTTGGGATTATACACTCAACCCACATGCCCCCTATGTAACTTACAGGAGGAAATGGAGAAGACCCACCTGATTAGGTGTCCAGCCCTAAAGACAACGACGGAAACCCAGAGATACTGGGAAGCAAGAAGACAGCTAATGAACTGCTATTAATTAACTGTTATATAAGAACCCCCCACCCATGGGGAAAGCCGAAGTCAAAGTTTAAGGGCTAATGATAAATACCATAAAGCCTGCCATTTGAAATGGTAATAATAGTTAGGTCATATTAAATCTTAACGGGAATATGCTGAAAAATGCAGTTACAATCAACTAACTTCAATACTTGTACTGAATACTACTGTGAATATTCAATAGTGCATGAATAATTGACAGTTCAAGTCAACTTCACAATCAAATTTCGTAGTTTGAGCTTGGCAGAATTTGCAAATTCAAAGTAATTCACACTGCCAATAGAGTGCCAAAAGCAGTTTGAATCGAACTTGCATTCTTTATTGAAAACAGCAGATGAAGTCATTGTATCTCATTATTGAAGTTATTTGAAGCAGAATTGTAAGCTTACCTATCTACTTAGTTTCATGATTAATTATTAATATTAAAATAATCTATTTTTTTGCTCCTCATACACCTCGCTTCGATGGGGAAAAATAAGTCAGCTTAATGCCCTTTGCGGTGTTTTCTTTCCGTGAATAATTTTCATAATAATGAGGTTAAACTTTCCCACCCATCGCGGGTGAATTAGTCAGCGTATCAAATTCAATAGAGGGCGTCAAATTTTATTCCTTATTCTTTGCTTTAAAAAAATGAACTGGTACATCTCAAATATCGCCTTTTCAAATTACGTAAGTGCAATCAAATATCTCTTTGCGCATGTTTATCGTGAAAAATGTTTCGAGTTGTAGAAAATTTCAAAATTAAAGGTGCCGTGAGAGCAATTAAGTTAAGAAAAATCATTAATCGCTACTATTTATAGTAAATTTCTAAAAGTGCAAAACTGGTTGATGATCTAACGTTCACCTTCAGCACACAAGTTCAAGCTTTATTATAACTCTGGACAAAGCAACAAATTTCGAGATTTCGTGGTGCCAGAGGAAATAAATTTTGTGGCGAAAATATTAATTTTTTTATATCAAATGGCAGGCGTCTTGATGGTTATCATTAGCCCTTTAGTTGACTTCAGACTTCACAGAGGGGAAGGAACATCAAATTGAAAAAGTCGAGAGGGAGGGGGAGGGAAGAGAAGAGTGTTTCAAAGATGTAGGAGATAAACACAAAGGTAGAAAAAAAGGTGAGGTGAGTACTGTGAAATATTCTAATATGGCATAGAGTGAGGTGATGGCAGTTTGAAGTGAGAAGTCAACTGCCAGTTAATAGCCTTTTTTGCCGTATGAGTATACATTGCCCAGGGTGCACCACGTGGAGATAAGTGGAGGTGTAAATTTGTTTTAAAATATATCGATTCTATCAATCTGCAGCAATTGTAACGCTATTTTGGAATGATTTAAATTTGAACTAACGTTGTTTGATTTTAACGTTATGCACCTTTAAAACGGAAATTGGGCTGATTTTCTTTGTCTCGGGGTTGCATTTTAAATTCTATTTAATTACATAAATGAAACCAGCTTGTTTGTAATTGTATAGTTCTGTAAGTTTTAAAATTTTAGTTTTTCATATGAATTTTTTAAATCTTCCAACGTGTATTAAATTCCAAATTATTTTAATTCAGGCCAAAAATACCGACATTTGCTATGAAATGCGAACTATGTCATAAGATGGAAAGACGAAGCTTGCGATATGGGTTCACAATTATTCTTGTTGATTAATAGTGTTACGTGATCAATTTGGTTAATCTCTTATTAAACCAACTCGGTTATCTGAAACATGTAAGCACGTGGCAACTTAAAATTGAATGAATATTTATTTATGTATTTATATCAAATGGAAGGCGTTATGATAGTTATCATTATCCCTTTAGTTGACATCAAGCTTCACAGAGGGGAAGGAACATCAAATTGAAAAAAGTCGAGAGGGGGGAACAGAAGAGTGTTTCAAAGATGTAAAAGAGGTGAGGTGAGTACTGTGGAAGTAGTCGAATATGACATGGAGTGGGGTGATGGTAGTTTGAAGTGAGAATTCAACTGCCAGTTATTTGACTTTTTGCCGTATGAATATACGTTGCCTAGGGTGCACCACGAGGAGGTAAGTCTATCGCGTATCCCGTATGAATGAATATTATGAACTACACAAATATTTTATTGTGCTCATCTATTAATTCGAGGATCGGTATATTTGTTTATTAGAATTCACGAATACTCACGAGTAATAGGATTATGACTATACCAGACTGCTATTTGTACACTTGAAGCTGCCGATAAGAGGTATTCACAATCGTTCATCAAAAAGGCTTGATTTGCTATAGTAGCTTTGTACTGACAACGAAAATGGGCATTTCTTTGAAGAAATCTACATTTGCTCTTCCGTTTTCCTTCCCTTAGACTGGTTCCGATGGTCCTGGGCGTCAGAAAACTTCTGACGAAATCGAGTTTGCATCCTCATGCTCGGAATCTCCCAATCCAGATACCAATAAAAATAGCGCCAACCAATCGCAACGAACAAATCCTGTAAAATGCCGAGCCAGTAAGCCATCATCTTCTCGACGTCAGAAATCAAACAACTTGGCATGTTCCTGGAACGCTGGTGACCAGACTGAAGATTCCGTGGCATCGGCATTTGAACAGGGTGTGTTTTTTTGCAAATGGATAAATCAGTAATCAATATTCGATCTATATAATTTATGTCAATTATAGTTTGTAGACGAGGCAAAAAAGTGGGAGCTAATCGACTAATATCCTGTCTTCGTGGAGCCACTTCAGCTGTCGATATTCGACGGAGTGCAAATCGAACTTCCTCAGGGTGTCTCAAGAATCGAGGCAAATCCATGGAAAATCTTCCAGATAACACACCTTTGGACGTTCAACTGCTCTACAAACTCCAAGATGAATTGTATGACTTACATGATCGCCTACAATTTGCTGAAAATGCAAATGCATCTCGGGTAAGAGACTAAATTTTAATCTGTTGAATCGATTTTTCAATCAATAACGGGACTCATTTCTCTTTGTAGTTGGATGAAGCAATTGAACATATTGGAGTTCTGGAAAGTGAATTGAAACGCAGCCGTAGATTTCGTGGTAGTTCAGGAGAGATATTATGGCAAAATGTAGGTCATACTTTCTGGGTTTTGTGCCTTTGTTGAAATTGAATCATGAGTTCATATTTTGTAATTTTTGTTGCCGAACGCTCTACTCATTTTCGATTTCAGCAACTATACGAGGGTCTCGAAGAAATGCGAAGATGTCGTGATAGCATTTTAGAGCTTCAACGAAAACTTACTCGAGGAAGTGCAGATGTCCCGCATGGTAATTTTGACCTTGGTTGGCTATCGTTATTGGCTATTTCTATTACCTATCTATCTATCTATCTATCTGTCTAATCGACTTTCTTCATACACGGTAGATATCCCCGGTACAACATCCGATATTAATGAAATGAAGAACACCTTAAACGCCCAGGAACGAGAGCTGTCAAAATTGACAAGAGTTGTCAATCGATTGTCACAGAACGGTCACGGTAATTTCTAACTCACTTTGTATTCGTGTTTGAAAAACCCCACATTGGGAGGAAATGGGCGTTATAACGCTTCAATTTCCTTCTAAATAAACACCCCCTTCTACATGGTAGCTGCCTTTTTTTTAAATATTCAAGAAACGTAAATATTCTAATACCCTCTCAAAAAAAGTTGATGTATCGATCTTTGGCCTGTCATTTAGTGGTTGATAACTCGACGGCTGAAGTGACGGAGGTGGCACGAATGGCGCCCTCAAATAAGCTTCTTTGCAATGTTGCTGAACATCATAATTTGGAGGACTATCTTCAGCATATTCAAAGTGTTGCTGATGGCCTACGTCAACAACTTCAAGATAAGAGGGTAAGCTAGA